TACAGCCGAGCGATACACAAATAAGATACGTTTTGTTAATAGTTCAGGTATTTGGATGCATTTGTAAGATTTAACTCCTGAGTTTCGTGTCACTTTAAACCTCCAATACTGGGTCCCTACCTCCTTGTTTTTATAAGAACCAGTCATAACCGAGCTTATGCACAAATCTGAACATTGATGATTATTTCCTATAAAATTTTACAGGTTACCCCTTATTTACCTTAATTGATTGTATCAGAGGATGAATCAGAGGCGAGAGTCCCCATGATGTATAAACGTTGGCACTACCTGCATTCCTGATTATAATACATGCTGGCTTCCAGCTCCTAAGTAGTCACTGGTGTATCAAATGCAGGAGCCAGTAGTTGTTTACATTACTTCTTAACCACAGGGCTCTGTTACGTGATGTTGAGCACACAGCACTGGGTCAAGTGATTTGCCATGCAGCAAGTGTCAGAAGTCAGGTGACCTTTAACCTCAAGTCCTTATTAGCTTAATATCTGTCCCCATAGGATATAAGCTCTAAGGCAGGAACGCTGCAAATGCAAGAAAATGTAACATTATTCAGATTATTAATTGTTCTCTTTAAATATGAACTTTGGTAAGCATGGTTTGCATTCAAGGCCTCATTCACACAGGGAGTGTTGCCCCCCGTACACTATAAAGAGACGTTTGTTGATGCTCCCGGAGCTGCAGGAAGAAGCATGAGGGTAGTTCATGTAAGTTTATGGAGTCGCAGGCGCCCTCGCACGCTGCATCCCACAGCTCTGAGTTTTGACAGCCACACGCAGATGGCATATGGCCATAGACACGATGGATCCAGTTCGTACACCACTGGTGTGCAGCTGTCAAAGCTAAGAACTGCGGTAGGAAGCGTGCGTCCAGCTCATTTAAGTTTATGGAGTCACAGGAACTGTGCACCCCCACACGCCGCATCCCATAGGTCTTAGGTTTGATAGACGGCATTCTTCCCATAAAAAAATGGCCCTTTAAGCTGTAGGGGGACAAAACACCAGGTGTGAATAAGGCCTAAATGGACAACAAAACATAAAAAAGGACCCAAAATACAATTTCAGAAAAGCAAAACTCCTTTCTACAAAAAAAAAAAAAAAAAAAAAAAAAACCCCTTTAAAAAAAAAAAAAAAAAAAAAAAAATGAAGACGACACCACACACACACACACACATATGCTTTATGAGGTTCCCATAGCTCTAACAGTCAGAACACACATGGAAGCAATCAAAAATGTAAGAGCCGTTTGTGGTCACCCTTCCTCCTCAGCAGTACAGACTATAGGTGCCCACACACCTTGTGATAATCGTACGATAATCACGGGAAATCCTGTGATTTCCCGCAAGGTGTGTGGAAGGCGTGCGACCGTTTCTACTGTACGGTCGTACGACTTTTATCTTAGGAACATGTTCGAAAAAACGCAGCGAATCGTACGATTGTCGGTGGGTGTGTGGCATGTTCGTACGATAAATGCCGCAAGCGCACACTGCCCGTTCAGCATTGCGGTCATCGGAAGCCCGCCCCTCAAGATGGGCAGATCGTACATTTTTTAAAATTACCTTACAACCGTCGCAAGACAAAAGTCTTGCGATGGTTATAAAGGTCTGTGGCCAGCCTAAAGCTGGCCATACACTGTGCCAAAATTTGCACAGTGGAGGCCGCTTTTGGCTGGCATCCCTCGGCTGATCGAAAGAGCCGGTCGGAAAATCATACAAACAGTCTCGGCAGTCAACGCGCATACAAAAGAAACAGCGGGGATTCCTCGATCAATGCGCTCGTAGCCTTGATGGAGGAATCTGCTCCATTTGTTTTCCCGAATAGAACAGTGTATGGCTAGCTTAAAGTGACATTAAACCTTCAGATTTTTTAACATAAACCAATACTGTAATGTGTGCCTTAGGCCCCGTTCACATTGAGCGATTTATCGCGCGATTTTTGTAGCGATATCGCTCATATTTCCGCTCTATGTAGCTTCACCAATACATTTCAATGTAGCTGTTCACATCTCGTCGCTCAATATCGCTTGTAGCTTGTCGCTTCTACATGACCCTTTTTTAGAGCGATTTTGAGCGATATTGCTCCTGATTGCATACAGCCCAATAGGAAGACGTCGCTCAAAGTCGCGCGATTTGCATGTCGCTCAGTGTGAATGGGGTCTTACTGTAATCCATGGTTGTTTCCCTTCTCTTTGCTGCTCTTCCTTTTAAATCTGTATCTGTTCTCATGCTCTGCAGAACTTCTGTTTTGCAGCAGACTGCCTTGTCTCTGAAATGGATACATGGTGTCTGTGTATAGGCTGTAACCTGAGCCAGCACTACAGGAAGAGGCACTCAGCTGCAAAGGGAAGTTCTCCCCAAGCATGAGAAGACATGAGGATTTAAAAAGGAAGAGCAGCAAAGAGAAGGGAAACTACCATGGATTACAGTAAGGCGCACATTACAGTATTGGTTTATGTTAAAAAATCTGAGGGTTTAATGTCACTTTAAGCTCTCTGACCCCCTTACCAATCATCTTAAAGCATTGGAACAGACAACATTCTAAGAGACTGGTTTAGACGTCCGGCTAATTTGCATATCAGCTTCAGAAACTAAGACAATGGTGCTAATAAGTTTTAGGTGGAGATCTAAAGAGATCTCCCAATAGAGAATATATAATAGCTTATGTTTAGACAAGTATCCTTTACTCTGAAATGTCGCAATACCCAACTTTCGGCACTGGCCTGTCAGCTACACCGGGGCACCCCCAGACAACTACACACTTCAACACGGAGGGGTTGTAAAGGGCGGATCACCCCTTGAACACTCGAGCAATTCTACTCTCCCGTAGGTTGGTCCATTACAAATGATTACTGGCTGTGCAGAAGTAATTGGTTTACCTGTCTTTATAATGCACTTTTAACAATGTGAAAAACTCAGAGAGGGAGAGAGCTAAAAGCCTGAATGATTTCCAATGTTTTCTTCGTCTCAGTGCATTATTATTGGGCCCTCTTAAAATGCTTTTTGGGAGAAAATTGCACCTTTTAGTAAAATTGTTTTTACTCGCTGCCTGAAAGTGATGCTCCCCTGGTTCTCGCAGATGCAGCTAAAGAAAGTGGCAAGTTTCAGCGGAGCCTCTGGAGAAAATCTTTCATATTGGAGTGATTCTGGAAACAAGTCGTGCTTTAGTAAGAACACCACCTCCACTGCAATGCTCGGCTGAGGGGGGTGTGAGGAGGCAAGCTGACTTCCCTTTGCAGAAGGATTATTAGTTCTTACCTACTGTGCATGCAGAATAAGCGCCTCGTACGGATCCACCCACTGATACAAAATAAAAAGACTCAGGCAGATGCGATATAGAAAAAAGCCCTTTGTATGGTGGCTTCAGTTAGATCAGCCGGAATTGTAATGCCTCAGCACCTGCCAACACAAGGATCAGCTTATAAAACGGTTGACATTGACTAGTTGTTCCCTACCGAGCATCAAGTACCTTCACAGGTCTGGTACAGACATTACTGCGGGGTGGGAATGTCATCATCGTCTGAATATGGAGTGAAAGCATTTTCCTGATTAGCAGGGTAAGGCACCAATAGGAGCAGAAAAGAAAATTGCAAACACATTGAGGGGGAATTGTAGGAATCATTTTTGTTGGAGCTGAAGACCCCTCAGGAACAGAACCATATGCAATACAATCATTAAACATCTTTCAGGAACCACACACTGTCGATTTTTCTTGCAGTGCCTTACTAAATAATGTAACAGAACAAGATCACTGCAAGAGGTCCATGAGTGCTAACTCAATACTCCTATAAAACACCACCTCCGGCCTGGAGGGACCAAGTGGTTGCTGTGTTGCAGACCTTTCCGCAGGGGTGGACAAATGCATATAGAATTCAGGAGCCAGTAGGCTTAATTTTAGGGATCGGCTCCATTGACAACAGCTAGACAAAACCTTGTTGACATTTTTAAGGAGCATTGGCGACCTGGCATATGTCTAGCCCTGCCTTAGCGTATGGAACCTGCAATGGTCAACGTGCTGCTCTTCAGGATCCCAAACTAGCCTAATGGATCCGAGCATCACTGAACCATCCAACCAGCAACTGTACTCTACTATACATGTCACAGTCCCTCAGAGGCTTCCAGTTATGTCACGCGGAAAGGCCCGGACAGGTCCAGTAAGGCAGCGTGTTCACAGCGTCAGGTAATTAAGAAGCAGCTATTCTACTCTATTCTGATTTGAAGACATTTACTTCAGTCAAGTAAATACAAAAATTAGACAAAGAACGTGTGATTAGATTTCCTGCCCCAAAAATTAACTTTCAGTAAAGAATTTTAAACATTTATCAAATTTGCCAACAAAAATCTGAAATCCTCGCCACCTGTTTTTGTGAATGTAGTAAAAATAAAAAAGAATTATTTCGGTAATCTACAGCACTTAACTTTACCTTGCACCCTAAAACCAGCGATCCTGAATAGCTTTATGTATTAATACAGGTAAAAACATGCAAGCTGAAGTAGTCACATTTGCCCCTCTCCCCTGCAGGATCCGGCAATCACAACAATGAGATTCCTTCATATCACCAAAGGGAGGGAACCCGGAAAAGGTATTTCCCACTCACAGATCAGATAGGCGAATACAAAATGTCCATCTGCTTTATATTAAAGGCCATATGATGTAATATTCTGGTTCCACAGAGTATAAATTCCATTACCAAGGCCTAACGCAGTTGCCGATTAATAAAAGAGGAATCCGCTGCTGTTATTAAAAAGAGACAAACATGCAGTTGGAGAACTGATGACCGATGTCACACAGCTTTCTAACAAGGTGGACGATATCAAAAGAGTATAAATTTGCATTCCTGTAATGCCCACTATCTCATCACCACATAAAGTTCCTTAAATTGTCCACTTTGGAGGGAGCATCTGGCATGGGCACAGCATCTGCTGATCTTTTTACAAGGCCAGTTAATTGGCCGGCAGAAATAACAGCACTGATTGGCAGTAATGACTCATTCAGGCACAGCTGGCCTTCACGCTCATTGTCCGAGCAGCTCTCGCCCCTCATGCAAGTCTGTGGGAGTAACGTGGGTGTCTAGTACTCCTATTATGCGTAATCCATTTGTGACGGACTGTGTGCAGCTGCAGGTTTCCGCTCAGGACTGCCTCGCCCTTCATTGCTGCAGTCCTGAGGACGGGTGGATATGTAATCTCGCACTTTGATCTCCATGTTTCTGGCATGGACTGTTGCCAAGTGAAGCTTCTCCAGGAAATCTGGCATCCCTGTAACAATAAAAAGGGCTCACATTAGCAAACAACTCTCAGGTGGTAAAAGGTGGTGCAAAACAAAAGCTATACATGTGTATTGGCAGTACTAGAATCAGGGGCTGTCGCAATGCAGTTCAGGGGAATATCTTCTGTGATGAGCTGCCGCTTTAATATATTGTGTAGGTTTTAATAGAAGCCCTTATGTTTATTTTGGACTAAGAATAAAGAAGAAGTATCTTAAAGCGGATGTTTACTCCCTTTCACTAAAAATCACATCAGTATGCAGCTCTGCATGCACATCTGAAATTATCCTACATTCATTGGTTAAACAAACATATTTTGCTACTTCCTGGTTCTCTTGGGCACCAGTGAAGTAATCGTGCCCAAGCGTTGCATCCTGGGAAGGTTACATCACAGAGCACTGCAGGGAAAGGCATTTTCCTCTCCTGAGATGATGTGCAGGGTCACATGTCCCAGAGAAGTGAGAATCTGCCCTTAGTAAAAATGGCCACTATGAGAAGACTGGGAAGGAAAATAAAAATAAGGTATACAAAGGCGGCAATTATCTAGAAGTATGCATTTGTAGATTGTCATCGCTAAACATTTCTAAAAGGTGTTTTAGTTGTCATTTCAATGACATGGTTAAAGCGTGCGTACACACACACAACCCGTGTCCCATTGGGCAAATTTCTCTTCTCCTACTGTTGGACAGTCACAACAGGAAGTGAGAGGAAATCCCTGGTGGTCAGCAGGCTCACCAGAACTAGTGCCCCATTGGAAGATTTCCCATAGATTTCTGTCCTGGAGACCATCCAAAATTTGGGATTTTTTTTCCACTGATAATCACCAGGACAGATAGGGAGGGTGAATTTCCCTAACAGGGACACAGACTGCAAAAAAAACCTGACAGGTGTTCCCTCTCTTCTCCACTCTATCCGAAACAAGTGGTGTCTTAAGTTGCCCTTTAAGGAAAGAATGGGTGTATTTGTTGGGCCACGTGATGACATCGAGCAGTAAACAATGTGGATCTTAAAGGAAATGTTTCCTGAGAAAGACATGGAGGCTGCGATTGTGACGTCTCGTTATGATAATGCTTAGTCTCCTAGCCGTCATGTTTATCCTCTTGCTTCAATACTGTGCTCCTTACTGGAAACAAGTATGCAAAACAAGGATGTCTGGCTTTATAGATATTCACATCATTTAGTAACGCAAACCTTATCACAGCCACCTTGTCCGTGTACGAGAGATAATTGGCATCCTCAGAAGAGGATTGAAAATGTCAGCCCCAAGTTTTGCCATTGCAAGTCCATTGACCTGGGGGGGGGGGGGGGGAGGGTGGTTGTAGAGACA